GTGACCTCGGCACATGGGGAGGACCTGTCAGGTATTTTTAGATTGTTCTACTTTGGGGTTTACTTGTTTTTCCTCACATTTAGACTTGGGCCATGGGTCTGGGGGAAGCAGTCACAGAGGTGGACAGCTGCTCTGTCATCTCAAGCCCTCAAGGTGAATGTCACCTTAGTACTGAGTGTGCTCAGCTGGCTGGGGAGTGCCTTTCAAGGTTCCTTGGTTTTCTCATATTTATCCTGGGGCTGTGGGTCTGGGGCAAGCAGGGCACTGGGGTGGACATCTGCTTTGTCATTTCTGACCCTCAGGTGAATGCCATGTTAGTACTAACTGTGCTCACCTGGCTCAGGTAGTGCCTTTCTGACTGTGGAGTTACTGTTCTCTGCATGTCCCCATTGTCTGTGTTTCTGGAGGAAGTCATTATAGAGGGCCCACACTTAAGGAACAGGGAGTTAGCTGTACCTCCTCGATGGCCTTGTCTGCCTTAGTTATCTGGTATGCTTCTTCACAAGAGGTTTCTGCACAAGAGAATTGCATGTTGTAAATAATTTATCCCAGTCTATAGCTTTTCTTTTTGTTCTCTTTTCACAGAGTTTAAAATTTAATTTTTTCATATGATGCTGGGGATTGAACCCAGGGCCTCACATATGCCAGGCAAGTGCTCTACCACTGAGCTATACCCCATCCCTTTAAACATCTTCCAGGCTGGCCTTGAATTTGCAATCTCCCTGCCTCACCCTTTTTTTTAAAAGAGAGAGAGAGAGAGAGAGAGAGAGAGAGAGAGAGAGAGAGAATTTTTTAATATTGATTTTTTAGTTTTTGTTGGACACAACATCTTTGTTTGTATGTGGTGTTGAGGATCAAACCCGGGCCACACGCATGCCAGGCGAGCACGTTATCGCTTGAGCCACATCCCCAGCCCCCCTGCCTCAGCCTTTTGAGTAATTAGGATTCTTGGCATGCAACACCACACTTGGTAAAAATTTAATTTTATAAAGTCCATGCTATCAATATTTTCTTCTGCCAATTTACTTTTAGTATTGTGTGTTAAAACCACCAAGGGCTAGGGATGTAGCTGAGTATTGTAGCTGAGGTTGTATGTAGCTGAGGTTGTCCACCATGTGTGCAGCCCTGCATTTGATCCCCAGTTCCAGAACACACACACACACACACACACACACACACACACAAAAACACACATACAGTTACCACTCTCTAAGATTACATGGATTTTCTTCTGTTTCTCTTTAAATATTTTTTTTTTCAAATTTTAGTTATGGATGATTATGAGTCAATTTTTGTGGAAACTTTGGTTTGGATATACTTTCATTTCACTGAATATAGTTTCCAAAGCTTGTTCAATCACCATTTTTTGACAAATAGTGTTTAATGGGTTTCATTTCCATTTGAATTTCCAAAATCATGTGCCGAGTTTCTCTTCTTGCATCTAAAAGGCTCAGGGGTCATCCAGGTAAACTGGGCTGACTGGGCTGTGCAAAATGACCACACAACATACACAAATACCTTTTACTTTGGGGTCACTCTGATGGCTCCTCTGACCTTAAGGGTCCGCAGGGAGAGAGAGAGAGCGAGAGCACGCGCTGACCGCTTTTAGTGAGAAGCTATTCAAATAGGCAAGGGGTCAGGTATCAGAGGGATGAGTCTACCTTCATGATGTCCACTGTCAGCAGGTTGCCTGACACCTGGGTAGGCCACACCCAAGGGCACAGTAAGAGGAGGGGACACACAAGGCACTTCCATGGAAGATTCTACCCTGAACAGGGCAAGGAGTTATATTACAAAGGAACAGGAGAGCGTAGCTTCGCCCATGACCCATGGGGCTGTAGCAAGACACACCCATGCCCGATACACTGACCCTCAAACCTAAGAAGGTGGGGAAAGCTCAGCCACATTTCTGTGACTGAGCGCCTCACACCCAGCCGGGGAGTATGACTCAGTCACAAGCAAAGTTGGTCTCCCACAGAGTTGCCTCCTGGCCTCCCAGTCCCTGAGCAGATAGTGGTGGTCAGCAGGAGGACACCCACTTCCTGGGCCCCTGCTTGGCCTCCCCAAGGCCCCTGCCTGGCCCCTCAGCACCCTGTATCAGGGGCTGCACCTGAGACCAGGTCTCTCCTCTTCCCAAGCCAGCTGCCCCTCTCCAGGACTGACCACTCGGCCAGGACCAACTCCAAACAGGCCTCACTCCCAGATGGAGGCTCGAGCCCCAGGACGGCCCTTCCTGGTCACAGCACTGCCCGCCCCTGCCCACAGCACAAGCTGCACTCTGCCATCATGACCACGGGACCCCAGGACAGAGACTCCCAGCAGCTGGCAATCAGAGCCATGTGCACCTGCAGGCCACCTGTGTGGGGACCTCCAGGAGCTCTGTGCTGAGCCCTCTGGAGTCGGGGACTCAACATTCTAAGTCACTCTTAGCACGTGCATGTGGGAGGGCAGCATGGAGCCCCTGTGCAGGGACAGTGCCCAGGGGCCTCTCGGGGTTATGCAGGGATTTCCCATTCCACCAGCACCTCCAGCCTAGTCCCTGAAGACCCAGAAACAAATGCTGGAATGAAAACTTGTGTGTGAACATTCACAGCAGCACCATGCACAGGGT